GGATTTCCCGTCACAAACTGCCCCTATAGGGGCAGTTTGTGACGGGAAATCCGAAAAAAGAAGTATAAAAAAGTTTTGAGCTGAGTGGAAAAGACTAGACAGGTTTTTCTCAAAAAATAGGATTTTTGAGGTTTTCCACCCGATCTCAGTTTTTTGCATTTTTCTCTCCAAAAAAGTGATCAAATCGAACTAAAAAGGTGATATTCGTAATCAGCACGAAATTCTGCATCGAGTAATGAGCTTTTAAGGCAAAAATAAAAACATGCTCCTCTTTTGAATTAGCCGCGCCTTACTAAAGTTAGAAATAAAAAAGACGCCAATAAGAAACCACTTGCTGTTGTTTCTTGGTTTACCAAACTCTCTATCTCTTTCGAATTATTTCTATTAGGATTAACGTTTAAGTGACAGGAAACTAGCATTGGATTTCATTAGCGCTATCTAACGTTTCTCTTTTAAATGCGTTATAAAACTGCCTTTTTTTAGCACAAGAAAAAGCAGGACAACAAGTTTTTTCCTGTCCTGCGCTGCAGACCTGCAAAGCAGGACTAAAACTTTTTCTTGTCCTGAGCTACCTACATGGCACAATTATTTTTTTCTTCCAAATAAAATAATCATCTCTATATTTAATCATTCGTTACATTATTCCATTTTTAGCTAGATCACTGTACCAGCTTGACAAAAGTATACTGTAAATTTCAAAATCTAAATGTATCGTATCTCAACTTTGGTGTATATAATACATTGACAACAAAATAATAATTTCTTTAAAGACGATGGCAGGATCGTCCTGTCCTGTGCACACCTCTGGTCATGTCAGCTTGTATTGGAGGAAAAAAAATGTCTCGGTGGTTTTATTGTATTAAACTGTTTCATGTGCTATAGTTCAACGTTCTTGGATTAACGCGTACGTTGGAATGAATAGATCTGAAGTAATAGACTACTGTATTTCTGTCAGAAAACAAGTTGTGATATAAAAATATACGAAAACAGATAGAATAGGTGAAGACTATGATAGAAATCAATTAATCCCTAAAATTTATGAGATGCTGATTCTTGAAGTGCGATAAAATCATCCTCATTAGCAGCAACATCGTTACATTGTAGTAATCACCGAAATGAATCACTTCATGAATGTTTATATGAATTAACAATTTACACTTAACTTTAGAATTATAGTAGTAATGCTGATTGTTCTGAAAAACATGGATAGTTTTCAGTGCATATATGCCATGCAACATAGGTTGCTAAAAACTGTTGACTTGTATTTATTTTATTATTTAATATTAATTAATTCACTTAACATTAATATTAGCCATAATTATGAACGTTTAGTAAAGAGTGCATCGTGTTTATTATGTACAACAGAAACTGAACTTTGAAATACACCATGTTAGATTTTGACATAAAGTCAGATGAAATTGATATTGATGATATATTGACAGTTAGTGAGAAATTTTTTGTTTGAATGAATGATTATTTTTCGGCAGAACACATTGATACAGACTTATTTTAATAACTTTGTTCCGTTTCATTATTTGATTGACTCTCGTTTTTTTATTTTGTTAGACACTGTAACTGACGGCTATTCTTTTGAGTTCGAAGAAAATAGATTTTTTTTCTTCAATAAAACGGACATTGTATAATTTTTTCTAGTGAAAAAAGGCATATCTTCCGTTTCCTTTATTCACTCTCGTTTCCTTCATTCACTTAAATCATGCAATGTATCAAACGAAACAAAACATTTGGATTTTGTATAATTTAGGATGAATTTTACATGAGTGCCTATTATAATGCATCTCTACGGTATGAGTGTCTAACGATCTCAAAACAGAAAGATATATCGCTCGAACTATTCATTTAACGAGAAAAGAGAATTTAGCATGGGGAGAGAAAGCATTTCCACAGCTCCTTTGGCTCCTTGTGGTTCCTTATGATCCCATTTGGCTCCTAAAACATAACATCTCTAGAAGTCCACTTTTTACCACACTAATGTACACCATCTGAAATAGTTATTCTTTTTTTCACTTGTTTGTTTGTTCTTACACACGGCTTTTTTCTTCGATAACTTATATTACTTTTATCTATAAAACTTAGCACACTAGGCATTGTACTTTCAGTCGAGTATAAATTTTAATGCATAGTTTTATTTCTATACGTATTGAAAATGTAAAAAACAATTATACACGTGATAAATCATCGTTTTTAAAGCATAGATCTCAGCCTTTTCACTCAGATACACTCGTCTCCACAGAACTTCATATAGCTCTGTTGCGTCTCTGGAGCAGGACCGTAACCAGAATTTTGGCAAGAGATGGGCATCTAGAAAAAATTCCATCTTTACTAGTCTGAATTTCCATTTAAAATTTCAGTCTTCGACTATTATTATCAGATATACACTGTAGTGGAATCTCAAGGGGTGGGCAGGTGCCCTGGTGCCTACACTCTGGTTATGGCCCTATTCTGGAGACCCTTTTTCCTCCTTGGGACTAAGTCTATACTTTCGACTATATTCATTTCTTTTTCATACAAAAAAATAAAAATAATTCGACTTCGATTGTTAATATCTAAATTATTATTTTAATAATGCAACTCGTTTTATTCGTGGATTTGGTCGATTGAAACAAATGTTTAAACAAACTGTTAACAATTTTAAACAAATCAATCAAACAATCATCCCACCATCTGTTTCTAAAGGCTTTTGAAAACTTCAATCGTCGATAAATGCGTCAAATCCGAACTATACATTATACAGAAATCAATTATTATTTCATCAAACAAGTATTGCATTGTCGTCGAGTACGTCAGTCAAATTAACAACACTATCAGAGATCGGTTACCAATTTGGAAAAAAAAGGTCTGATCAAACTTTCGCCATTATGAAGAACTTGTTTAGCTTCAAAGTTTATTTCACGAAACGTTTTTTTTTTTATCAATTGATAAATTTCAATAGCACATAAGAGATTGATAACAACAAAAAGAAAAGGTCCTAACTAAGTACAAAAAGAATCATAATAATCGTGCATCTATCTTTCTAACAAAAACAGAGAAGATACACAGACACACATACACAAGAATATAAAAAAACAACAGTACATTCTCTATTTTCATAATATTGCGTTAAAAAACAGCAAATAAGAACAAAAAAAATTTTGGTATGTTTTTTCATGACTAGAAATGGCGTATATGCGTATGATTGTTTGTTTTTTTCTGGTAAAAGTAAAAGCAAAAGAAAACAAAGTGGAAAGTAAAACAAGAGAAATTTATCGTAAAGAGAACAAACACAAGAAAAAATGGAGAATTAACTGACATGTACACATCAAATAAAACAACAAAGCAAAAAGAAAAAAACAAAAAAAAACATATTGCATTTACACAGCTATTGGACATCGTTCATTAATAAAATACACAAACACATGCTAAAAAGAAAGAATAAAATAGAAAACAAATTTTGTCTTGCATAAACATCTCGGCAAAGAAACGTAAGATATCAGATTTTGTACGTTGAAATTAGTCAATTTTAAGAATATTGTCTATTTTATGGTTCGGATCAATATGACTATTTCAGAAATACTCAGGTTGCAAAGTTTTTTCCGCTGTGGGCAAGTTCGGACTTAAATAATAGAATCAAAAATGATACCAACCGTTATTATATACCGATATATTTGACAAAATCAATACAATTGTCATCATTTGTCGAACAAAAACAACCTCTTTTCGAATTTACTTACATTTTATGTAATATTTTCATTTTCATGTTCATTACTATTTTGATTTAATGTTGTTGTATAATTTGTGTGTAATAATTCATGTTGAAATAATCGTTCACTATTATCAGTATTATACGAACAATATTTACACGGCATTGTTGATGTTAACGAAGAGTTTTCTTGATGATTTAATTCATGTTGTTCAAAATATTCTTGATTATTAGTTTTATATGGACAATAAGTACAATAAAAATGATTTGTATCTTTTGTTTGTTCATCTAATATCCAAGATTGAAAATAAATTGTTGCATGTTCACATTTTTGAAGTTGAAGTGGTTCAACAGTATTAGCCAAAGAAGCAAAAGAACTACTATGTGTGCCAATCATATGTTTACGAACACTTGCACGCCATTTTGATAAATACAAACATTGTGAACATTGAAAACCACCATCCGACAAATGTAAATCAACATGGCGAGATAAAAATTGAAAATCCGATGTAGAATACGAACATCCCGAACAAGAAAATAAACGATTAGGTTCACTGTCTTGTTGTTGTTGGACAGAGGACGATAATGATGGTGTTGTTTTAACACCAATATCGACCGTTTTATTATCAATATCTTTTAATTTTTTCAACGAAGAAAGTGATGAGGATGTTGAAGACGATGTTGAATCATCAGAAACCTAGAATCAGTGATGAATACTTGAATGTCTATTATTGTCATAAAAATGTTTTCATTTTCTTACCTTGTTATCAGTGCCATTATTTGAATGATTTCCATTTGAATGATTGCCATTTTGATGTTTTCTATCTGCTGTTATTGTCAACAAATCTTTAATTTTTTGTTTTTTATATCCATTTGTTGCCGTTGTTAATAAAAGTGATGAATCTTGTTCTTGTGAAATATCGATCACTTGTCCATGCGTTACACCTGGATGCATTCGTCGTAAATGTTTACGTACATTTCCACACCACGCTGATACGTGTTCACATAGTGAACATTTATAACGTTTAACAATCGATTTATTATTATTTTGCTCATTTGTATTAAAATTATTACTATTACCATTTGTTAATTGACCTAATAATGTTTGTAATGATGTTGCCAAATCATTTGTTGTACTGTCGCCAGTAGAATTATTGAATAATCCTGACAATGAGCCATTGTTTGATGTCGGTGGTGATTGATTATTTTGATTACGAGTTGAAACAGCTGTTTTTATTAATTTTCTCAACATTTCTTCATTGTCATCTTCATCTGATAAATCATTTTCACCAGCATCATCAATTCTTACTTCATTTTCATCATATAATGGGCTTTCAACAGCTAAAAGAAACAAAATGAAGTATGATAAGTATACTGTATATCATTTGCTTGATCGCGACCTTCATAATGCTATTATTCCTTGGTTATTATAAGCCATTTAAGGGTATATCCCCCGCCCCTCATTTTAGAAAAGTTTTTTGTGACAAATGTGATGCATGACAGAGTGACATGTCTCTATAAAATAACACCACTCCTAGTTCTTCACGACCTTCTGCTGGAAAGATACGAGTTGGTTAAAATTCGTGACTTTACTCTAATAAAAACGCGATTTTTTAACTTTCAGTTTTTCTTTATTCTGGCATTTGAAAGCTTCTTCAAATAGTCAGTTTTGTGGGATGAAGAATTCTGAATAAAACGAGATGCTACCCAACCCTTTAACATATTTTTGGATAGAGTCATGATCGTTTTGCTAAAAGCCCTCAAAAACGTGAGTTTCGCGTTGTAATGTTTCTGATTCAGAACGTTGTTTTTTGCTAGTGCACTAAATTGACGCCGATTACGGCTCCTCTGAAATTTCATCCGATCGGGCTGAAATTTTTACTGTCGGTACTTAATACTATTCTCTAGAGATAATTTTTTTTGAAATAAGAATGTTTCTGGATCGAGTTATGGAGATCATCGGCCAAAACTCAAGGTGAATTGTGAAACAGGACTTGATGAAATTAGAAAATGAATTTTTAACATGGCTAGAAATGAGACATAATTTGATAGACAACATGGGAGAAGAAAATATATGCCTCGATCAGATATTGAGTCCATGATCCTCTGGTAACAGGTCCGAGTGTGTTTCTAAAAAAAGTTTTCAACTTAAATCAAAACTTAAGTCGCACTTAAGTCACAGTCAAGTTTTGACTTAAGTGCGCTTCTTAACTTAAGCCAGACAGAGGTCATGCAGTAAAAACCATTCGTATTTAACTTAGATTATTTTACAATAATTTTCTAAAAGGTTTGATTTAAGACGAAGTTTTCACATAAGCTTTTTTTAAGAAATTGATCCCAGAAGCTTTAACCACTGAATTGCCGCAGCACGATTTAATATACACTTTTTTTTTGAGTATTTTCGCTATAACTTTTAAAGAAAGCAATATTTTTCAAAAAGAAAACTTTTATCCTTGAGATACCCGACAAGCTATGAGTGATAAAATCTTCAGCTCGATTGGATAAAATTTCAGAAGGGTTGTAAATGGTGCCGATTGTACACTAAGATTTCGGTAAAACTCTTGAACAGAGATAGTTGAAAAGTTCACAACAGTTTTAAAAAATGTGCAAAAGAGTTTTACATAGGCTCTGAAGATATCAAGTGACTGCTGGGTAACCTGCAGGAGTTCCAAAAAGCCCAAAATGTGGAGAAGGCACCCTTTAACTTGTTTTTGTTTTACTTACCCAATTCTTGCTGTTGTTCATTTTCCACTTCATTATTATCCTCATCTTCATCATGTACTGTTTGATTAAAATTATCGATGATATGAGCCGATTCTAAATTATGAAAATGTCGGATGTGTCTTAGAACAACCCAGGAATGATATGATTGTAAAGAACATGCTGAACATCGAAACGCTTTTATTTGTTGATCATTAGCTGCTGTTGTCGTTGACGATGTTGTCGATGTCGAAGGTGATGGAATTTGTTGTTGTTGTGGTTTAACATCAATTTCAATTGCTCGTACATTTTTTTCAAATTTATGTTTTGTTTTAATATGTCGTTCAATAACCCATTTATAATGTCCAAGACGATTACAATACGGACATTTATAAACACGACCACCCGTCTGATGCACGGCTAAATGGGCGTTAAATCGTTCAGGATTTGTCGTATGAAACGGACACATTTCACATTCATAATTAATTAAACTACAAGAAGTGCCATTTCCATTATGATTTGAATCTCAAAATGAAAAAATTACGTGAAGCTTGTAAATATAACAAAATATCCTGGCCTTTTTTTATGATACAGAATGAGCAAAATTCATCCATCTTTATTTTTGATTTTTCTCCTTGACTATCGTAACTGGAAGAAATTCTTCATCGAACCGTGGTCAATGTACGGAAGATTCATCATCCAGAGACAGTAAAAAATGCTTTTTGCATTTTGTGTAGAAATATTTGCACTTTACGAGTAAGCTGTTTGAAAAAAAGTTTCTAATCAACTGTGGCGACTTGGTGATCTAGACTTTCCAGAATCTCAGTGTTCAGCGGTATTAAGAAAATTTTCATAACACATTTTCTGATTGGTAATTCTTTCAACTGCTCAAATCACTGTTTTGGTTTTCTTTTTTCTATCACCATCAATGAAAAAAAATCAAAAAATCAAGATGGAACAATTATTTTATTCATCAGTGTACTGCTTAACCTTTATGAGTTACTTTGAAAGAAGTGCTATGGAATAAAACACTTGCTATCCATACCTTTTGCTAATAAAGCTTGTCCGTTGACATTTGTTCGTATAAATGATGGATTACTCATAAGTGTTGGCATTTGATCTTGTTGTTGATTTGAAAATGTTTGCGCCTTCTTTGTCGACATTTCAAGATCAGTACCGTTATTACTATTTTCACTATGTTCTCTTTTACGTTTTGCTGACATTATTTGTAGCTGCTCAGTTGGTCTTGAAGGCGGCGTATTGGAAGAAACTGGTAGAATATTTGATGCTAATTGACTATGTTTCCATGTCTGATGTTTTTTAACATCACCGGAATTCTGTGATTGAAATTTACAATAACCACATTTATACATTGATACGTGTTTTGAGTATAGTCGTGCTGATGCTGTGACTGTCGATTGTATTTGTTCTAAAGTTGTGAGAGGTGGTCGATTCAACAAATCTTTTAATTGTGAAAAACTCATTGTTTGTGGATGAAAATCCACAACATAATCACGTAAATTATCACCGTTACCACCATTTGAATATTCAGCATGTTTTTGACGTAAATGGAATGAACAATCACCTCGATGACGATATAAACGATTACCTAAATAATTAAAAATAGAAATGAATATTCGAATAATATTCGCTCAAACGACCAAAAATCCAGTAATACATACATAATAAACAACGAAAATTTTTATCTCTTAAATGATTTAAAACATGTTCTCGATATAATCGTTGATCTTTTGATGTAAATGTACAATAAGGACAATCAGATATCCATACAGACGTTGATTTTGAACGATAATTGGGTGTATCGTGTTGTTTTGATTTATCATATCCACCATTTAATGGAACAGATTTTCGAGCAGCAACTGGCGGCATGGATGGTAGTGGCGAAGAAGGTTGATGTAACGATAATTTTAGAGCACGAGCTATAAAAGAATAGAATATATCAATTATGTCTGGATAAATATAACTAGAAAAAACATACCAATTGCACTATCATTATTATTGTTCAAAAGAAATGGTGATGCGGTTGGTAATGATACACGATTTTTATGTTTACCAGCTGAACCATTTTCAGTTTGTGATATTGAAGTAAATGGAGCAGGCAATGCATCGTTTTTATCATCTAAAACAACAATGTAAATAGAAAGAATACAATAATTACTCTTAACATTTAAGAGATACTTACCAACTAGTTGATGTTCTTCATATAAATGTTTTCTTACTTTGCCAGGATATTGTGAAGCATAATCACAATGTGGACATTCCGTAATAATTAATATCTCATTATGTTGTTCTTGACGATGTTTAAAATAGGCTTTTGAACTATGTGTTAAAAATGTACATGATTTACACGAATAACGACGTTCATATGTTTTAATTGGTGGTAATGGTGTTGACGAAGGAAAATGAGGAAATTTATTTTTTAACGATTGCTAAACAAAAGAATAAAATAACATGAAACCTACGACTCTCTCTTTTTTTATGTAACAGTAAAAGTTATTTTTAATGATCTGCTGAATCCATCTTTCCTAATTATTTAAGTTTTCGTATAGTTCAATTGAGAAAATGATTGTAAATTTGTTTAAATCAAACTTACGCTGCTATCTTTTGACGATATTATTGAATTTGTTTTCATATACAATGGACTATGGCGAACTTTTGGTTTGACAACTTCTTGTTGTTGTTGTCGCGGTAGTGGTGGTGGTGGTGTTAAATTATTATTATTTTCATGAGCTAAAATAATAACAATAACAACAAACTGCCAATTACATTTAAAAATACTTTACCTTCAATATGACTTTCTAAATCGGGTAAATTGTCACAATTAAATGGACAAACCGGACAAATATAAGCAGTAGCACCATCCATTTTATTTTAATTAAAAAAGAGAATTACTGTCTAAAATAAATTTTTACAAGACAATGTTATATTTGACTTTTCACTTATAAAATATGCCTACAATTTTTATCTAATAGCAAAAGTTAATTAAAATTTTAATCTTTCAAATTATTCTTTGTTGCACATGACTACTCTTGATTCTAATGTTGATTAGTATCATTTATAATTAGTAGTAGTAAGAAAAAAAGTGCGAATAATAACTGAAATATTTGCTGTCTATGACACAAAAATAATCAACATATCTTTCTCAACAACAAAAAAGTTATCAAAACGTATGATGATCATCATAAGAGAAAAACCAAAAATCTGTCGACATCATTGCTTAGTCATTTTTTTTTACATATGCTTTTCTCTGTGTGTATGTTTAACGTGTATCTACAGTTCCACAACAAATAATGTTCCATTTTACACGTAATTCAATTTTTTTTATCATTTCTTTGAAATCGTCTGCAATTCATAATTTGTGTTATTTATTAGATAAATCATATTCAATTAGTTTTATTTTTCATATTCAATAATAAACAAGATTCGAAAACATTCAGTCCACATATATTCAGTTGCTAATATTACATTTTAGCATACCTCGTTTCATTATGATCAAAATCTCTTTATTAAAACAAACATTAAAGCAATTTTTGAAATTTTTCACGTTTTCAAAAACAAATACAATCAAAAGAAGAAGAAGAAAGAATATAAATATATTCCAAAATCTTCATGATTAATTTCTTAATTCGAAGATGGTCAAGAAAGTGCAAAAGAAAAGATATATCAGAATTTTTAAATAGAAAATTTTTTCTCTTCTCATTTTCAAATCTTAATGGATAAAGGAGGATAAAAGATGAAAAGTCTCAAGTTAAAGTTTATGATTCTTCTTTTATCACTTTAGTATGCTAAAATAGAGCTTACATTTTTCATCGTATATGTGACAACAGTAATTCTAGTTTAGTTCAATAATAAAGAAATGAGAAAGATCTACCTATATTTATATGGTTTAGAACCATATGAGAACAGTAAAAAAAAAAATTGTTCGCAGTTTTTTTTTTTTTTCTTCTTTTTAAAAACAATATATAAATGTCAATTCTCTAGACTAATAGAGAAAAAAACGATAATATACAACCCTAGCCAGCTGTTCTTCTGAAAGAGAAAAGAAAATTTTTTCCAGGAAAAAACATTTGATTACTTTTGATATTAAACTAAACTAAAACTAAATGTTATGATGCACATTCGTCTATCCTTCGTCTTTTCATGATTAATAAGAAGATTTAAAACTTTGTTGTACATATGTACAACAGAAAGAGAATGAAGAAAATATTTTTATTTATGGTTGTGTGGTTTTTTTTTTTTTCTTCTGTTCTTTTTTTACACACATGACACGACTGATTCATTCACAATTAAAAGGATATCATTTAAAATCATTAGATAAAAATGTTCATGCTACTGGTGCATGAAAAAAACTCTTAGTATCATTGGTTTGTTAGGAGAATGACAAACTGTTGAATAAAGAAAACAAAGTTAAATCGTCCTTTATGATAATTAAAAATGTTCAATAGTCTCATTCTACCTTATTAAGTGATTAACATAGATAGAAAATGTTCTACAATAAATTCATTAAATGTTATATTTTCTAAGTTTTCTATGACACTGCAGAGCTGAAACCGGTTGAGAAACGGTAAACCTATCCGATCTGGCGGGTAAACTGATCGGTTGGAATTATAACTCAAACCGGTAAAATACCGGCGAAAAACTGGCGAAATTTTTTGAAAATTGATTTTTAGAAAGAATTTCCCCCAGAAATGAAATAGTGGAACCTTAACAATAACGAGTCTATAATATTTAACCTCAAAACAAGTGATGAAAATAATATCTGTCTTGAGCATCGTCTTATTTATTTTAACTGAAAAAGACGTGTTTTTTGACACAAAACAGGGTAAAAAGAGCAGATGTTTCAAAAGTTTCAACCGGTGAAATACCGGTCTCTAACTGCTCGGTTGACTTTTTCAACTTGTTTGGTACCGGTTCCAGTTCTGTGACACTATATTATCCAATACTTTCCTATTACAAGCAAAAATTCACTACCGTTTTTCAAAACTAGAACAAAAAATTAAAAATGTTTTATTATTATTTTAAAAATAATAACGATATCATTGTGATAAATCAGAACAATGGTGGAAAAAAAGTATTTTACTAAGAGTTGAGAGATGACACTCTATCATTTCTAAATGACGTAGTAGAGCATCATAAGAAAATTGTGTGTGTATAATACGAAATTAAAAGTGGCATTCTGAAACTCTTACTTTTCTCATAATTGTGCATGAGAAGAGTTTTCTTTACTAATGTCTAAAAATATTCAAAAATTATACAGAATTCACTTATTTAATATGCAAAGACTATAAGCTGTCTTCAACAAATTAATTAAATTATTAAAATAGTGTAGAGAAAATATGTTGCGCTTTTTTTTTTTCGAAGAATGTTTTCTTTTAAAAACATCTTGAAAGTTGAAAAATAAAAGACATTGAAGCGAATAACAACCACAAAAAAAAAATATATATATACTAGACGTCGATGACGAAGGGAAAAGAAGAAATTTTTGTTCATGTGCAAAAACGCGAGAAGCGCACAGTATTCAATGAATGATGATCGGTCATGGATTTTATGCTAAAAATATATAGACTATATGTACGAGAAGGAAGAGAAAATACATCGTCGAAGTATATAGTGATACCTTTGGATTTTTCAGGTTCGCGAAAAAGAAAAATATACATATTTTTAAGTTCACGTATGTATATAAATGTGAGAATATTCTGTATACAAACTTAAAGAGGGGAAAAAAAAGGAAAGAAATTTATGCTGACAGATATGTTTCGATCCTATGAGAACAATTTATTGATCAAACTAGTATAGTGGAAAAAATCTCTTAATTTGTTCAAATATGATATTTTCTACTAACTCACTGATGTTAAAATCTACACATTTTTTTCTCTTTTTCTTTTTATTTGAGAACTGTCACATTTTCCTGATGAAAAAAAAAAGAAAAACGACAGTATACTTAATATACTATATCTAGTGATTACTATATATTGTTATTACCTGCGAACTATTTTTGTCATTTAGCGTAAGAACGATGAGACGTATTAGCTGCACCGCCGCCGGCAGTCAATAGTTTTAAAAATTTCACGAGGAAAAAACAAAAATGTTCCACAGACTTTGAGCTATTATCGCCGATTCCGACTATTTTGAGCGGATATTCTATACGATGACGTCGAGGAGGAAGTCTACTAATATTCTCCTAAGAACGATCTGGCTACAAATTTCTTTCTCCTAAGCTACTAACTGATGAGAGTGCTGAAGACCACTAGCCGCATACCGGAAGAGTCCGAGAATTCTGATAAGTGTTCACCCTTCATGCCGCCTTAAATTTAGAAAAAAGTCACCTCTTCACCTTCAAAAAACTATTTTACGTCATATAACCGAATAAAACAAAACTTCCAAACATCTTCTGAATGATAAGAATTTCAGCTTAAAACAATGAATCGTTCAAAACTTACAGGTGACAATTTCATAACGAGTGCGAAAGACTAGATGTGTTTTAAACTAATCTACACACTCAAATCGAAAGTTTAGTCATGATAATTTTTAACTTTGTTCGTCATTGCTTTTTTAAGTTGAAAGTCCCATGAAGAGCACTGATTGAATTCAATGATTTCAAATTTTTTCTAGGATAAAAAGTAAACTTCATTTGATCAATTTGTGCATTTTTGTTGTATGTTTCAAACAAAGAAAAAAATTCTATCAGTCGTTCTGTCGTTCATGTGAAAAATGTATCACACTGAGCGACAGTAGTGAAAAGAGAAATACACTTTGTATTTTTTTATTGCTGTTGCATGTATTTGAGACTTGTGAGAAAATAATCATAACTTTCTTAATGTGAAGTTGCACAAAAGAAGTTTATTTAGAAAAGAAGAATCTACTCTATAAAACTATGATTTTGAAAAAGTTTTATTAAAACTAAAGTCGACAAGATCTGGACGTTAAAACAAGCCTAATTTTATGGCTAAAATCCATCGAATACAGCACTTTTAAGAGTAGAAAATAATGCATACAATTGAAGCTAGACGTTCATATACTTATCTCAAAAATCGACTTTCTGAACTCAGTCTCGTTGAATGATAAAACTATATCAAGGTACGAAATTTTTACTTTAATAATACAAATAAAATAATCTTAGTGAGAGGTATTAAACTATTTGTATAAAGTATTCTTATCAAACTAGCACGCAGTCTGATATGTCAGTATCAGACATAGTTCTAACATAAGGATATCCTCCGAGGTAAGTCCATTCTCTCACGTGATTTTTTTTCCATTCCTTTTTCTTCTTCTACTTCCAATACAGTCTGTTTCTTTTTTCTTACATACATTTTCTGTATCTACACTATCATTGTTTGGCTATTAAGATCAATTTTTGGTTTTGATGAAATACAAAAAAAATCGAGGTCGATACAGTTTAGTTCTTTCTTTTCTATCAATTACATATTGAATATATTATATCTAAAAAATATTATATTTGGTTCAATGAGCTAATTTAAATATCTTAAGTACGCTTTGCTGATAAAAAAATATATATTTTGTTTTTTTATCAATCTGTAAATTATATATTGATTCACTGATATAAAATATCTTTTAACTTACGTAGTGGATAAAAGAAGGAAAACGCACATGTTGTTGTTCAGTTTAACTATAAAACTGTTTTCTTTACTTTAGAAAATATAATCTCTCTATTCGTTAACTATATATATATATATAGAGTGAAAAACTTCCTTCCAAATACTATATAGAAGTTTGTTGATCAAAATGGTAAGAACTTTCTAATAGTTGTAGTTGAAAAAAGAATATAAAATATTACAAAGTATTTTGTATGTTTGGGTAACAAAAAAAGAAATGCGCAACACACAAAAAAGAAGAAATTACTTGAG